GAGCTGATCATACTCTCGATAACAGTCCAACATCAGTTGTATCGACTCAGTGCTAGTAAATGAAAACAACCCGTCACGCAAATCAACGCTCAGTCAAAATGTCAAAATCGGGAATACGGCACAATTGATAAAGTATCAGATAAGACCGACTATTCTAGTATCCAAGACTGCGAAAACATGTCGCTTGAGTTGAGTTGAGACACATACATATCATATAGGTCAACCAATCCGTGATGGTGACCGTTAAACTTAAGTAGTGTCGATTTTAGTCGTTCTTCTTCATTACACTATAGGAACCTTTTTTGTGTAAAAGGAGCATGCAAGCCCGTAAATTATGAACATTCACAAGTATAACTTGCAAATTGAGATATGTAAACGAAATACGATGGACATAGGGTATATTCCTGCTAAGGGTATGTACTTGTTGAGAAGTGAGAAGTGGGAAGTGGACTATTGAACAGTTGAACTCATCATGTTTGTCATCGATTCTAGTTTGAAGTCGTCCATCTATGTCAATAGCAAGCAGACATTCTAGTCTCGGAAGTATGTCTAATCTCAAGTTTATTAGGATATTTGAGAAACAAGAACTCACTGAAATGTGGGTAATTGATTGACAGGACATCATCAATATATCTGACAGTGAAATTAAAGAACTGATGTTTTCTTTTTTCTTTTTGTATATAAGAAGGTTATTTTTGAATTCTGCTTCACGAGAGTACAAAACAAGTTGGACAGTAGGGGAGCACAATTAACACCCATTGAAAAACCGACTGTCTGTTGAAATAGCAATCTAAAAAGCTCAAAAGATATGTTGTCGATCGAAAAGCCCAATCTTCGATGTATTTGCTTTTGCAATCTGTGCGGTTCTTCACAAAGTCAGATTTGTCATGACGTAAACAATGAATTTGAATCAACAATTCTCATTTTTGAAAAATAAAGCTCTATCTAATGAGACCATGTTTTCGATCTATTAATTGAGCAGGAGGAATAGTAGTGTAAAACGTAGAAAAATCAAAAGTTTTGATATTACTGCAATATTAAAGAATGTGATTTAAGATTTTGCAGTGGATCTTAAGAATTTTTAAGAATCAACATCTGATTGACACCGCTATTTGAATACACCTCATCACAATATTTCCACATACCATCATTTACTGTAGAAAGGATAGTGGTAAGATATTTATACAGATGTTCAGTCGAAATTTTTGACGACCCGGCTTTGTATCGTTCTTTTTAAGTATCCAGTAGATGGGAGATTTGCATTATCCTATTTCAAGTTAATACCAAAGGTAATAATGCTATAGTTTGTCCTTCATAGTGAAGTTAATTCATGTTGATTAAGGATGTCACTCGATACTAACATAAATCAAAGAAAGTAATGAACTTTGTGATACTGTTTCGAAACTGTTTGCAACAACAATGTATAGCAATACATGTGAATATGTTTAAAAGTGTTTCATTGTCTGTACTGTGTATTAAATAGACTCTAAAAAATAAATTCCGGTATTTTGTAGCAGTGGAAAATCGGGTGGGAAAAATATCACCCTTGAAATCTCCGAGAAACCAAACTATTCAACGGTTAGGAAGTACTCCCCTTGAAAACATCCCTTCAAGGTAATTCAACACCGGTTCAGAAGCTGTGGAAAATACCCAAGTCGATTCAAAATTAGCTTATGTTTTTGCTTCTGTTTTTGAATAAGACATTGACATGACTTGTCTAGTTTTATAGCTAATTACTGAATCATTTATTGCATGGATAGTATGTTTTTCTTAATAGCATTAGTTTTATTTTACAAGCATAAAATTAATATTAATATTAATTTCGTTTTTCAAAGATTATCGATCCCATTAAGATAGAATATACAATGACAAATGTACTCATGTTCTAAAATCTGAGTCATGAAACACTGTGTTGTTGTTTCTTTTGCAATGTCCATAAAAATAAATATTTTGCCTCATTACATATTGAAAATACATGAGAAAGTAAATTGATTTATCACACCTTTCATTATCATTAAAACAAATTATTTCCTTTGTACCTTCAATAAAAGAACAACCATGTTAGGTTGTAAGTATAAAAGTAAAATAGATGTAATCGAATAAATAAATTATAATTTCTGAATAAGATAGTACATATTCACGAAAGGAAAGCTTTATTCACAGAAAATAAGTCTTGTGCTACGTGTTCAGTTTCCATATATACGGCTATCAGATTTTAAACGGAAAGATTTGTATGGCTAGATGGATAGATCGAACATGGTCTGATACATTATTATTCAATCTCATATAAATCAAGATAACTAAATACTTTATATATCTTTATCATTTCTACATATTATTTCAACATTTCATTAACTAGTTCGAGATAAGGAATCAATGTATTCTTTAGACGGGTAAATAGTTCTAAAGTCTGTCTAACCACCCATCATTATTTTTTACTTGAGCCAATAGTCCAAGGGCAAGTTCTTAAATCATTAAAAAGTAATGAATAACATTGCAAATGACAAAACGCAGTGTTTAGAACAGTAAATAAATAGGGTTATATGTAATACTACGTTTGATGTTCATTGCTTACAACTGGATTTACAACTAAAGCCATATAAAGTCAACCTTGCCTTTTTATTTTAGGATATTTCGTCCTATGAAAAACAAGAAATCATGTTTTAATTGACATGAAGGGAATTACGGTTAACATTTAAAAGAGTCATGATTATAATGAAATATTGTGACAAAAATGTATAAAACAAGACTTGATGTTGAAGACTGTACGTTGACTTCTTGTTGTCTTTTTGGTAATTTGTGCCTTTGGGTTATTTCTCGTTGACGTTTATCCTGACTTTTACTTAATTTATTTATTAAAAGTTGCTCTTGTTTATATGATTATATAAAATGATGCTGTTCAAGACTATACAAGAATGCAATATGATGCGAAATAAGTATTTCTGTGCGGTTTTTTTTCAAGAAATTTATTTATTTAGTTAGTTATTCAACTGAGGGACACATAAAACAGGTTTAGGGTATTTGTGATTCTCTCATCAAATCGCAAATTATAGTATATGTTGGTCTCGTTCGTATTCAACAAACGAAGAGCAAAGTAGGATGTACAAGCGAGTTATACGTAGGCCAAACGAACGTTACTAATATTAATATTCATATGAAATCGAACCATGTCATGATTTCGTATATGTATCGAGGCTAGATCATAGAAGTTGATAACTGACGGTTACAGCTTTATAAAATGCGGAAGATAGATATTACAAAAGCGATAGTTGACGCATAAAATTATGAAACGTGTTGTTTTCAATTTTGTAAATTCCGACAAATGTTTTAAATTGCATTTCTCACTAATCAGTTTGACAATTTATTCTTTTAATCAAATTGATGTTGAGAATTGTTTGAATTGATGATAAAGAAGGTTAAAGATTATAATTGAATAGCTATATCTTAATTTGTCATCATAACTATTTAAAGCTAACTTCCTTGTCGTCAAATATTGAAATTTATTAAATAATATTCATTTTATTCTCACTTTAAACCACTTATTGAATTTTACACGCATTTTCTGAACGAAAGAAAGTATAACAAAAATATCCAACTCCAAGGCAAATTCAAAATGTGGAAATCCACAAACAATGACAAAATCAAACGTCATCAGCCAACGGACAAGTGAAAAACAACTGTCATATTCCTTACTAAGAGTGCATTTCTTTCTAACACAAACGATGCAAACGGCTAAGCGCGCACATGTTTTGATCATTTGTTTCTAATATACGTTTGCAAAGTTTACATAAACTTTGACAAACTATGCACTCGCTAAAAATGCGTCTACAGTTTGTCGTTCATCGTTTGTTTGTGCAAACGCTACATTTGTTTCTAACTTGAGATTTATTAGGTATGTTGTTTGAAGGAACCGCATTTAATGACCAAAATAAGTCTGTTTAGTATTTACCAACAACATTTGCATGCATTATTGAAAGTTCAAACAGGATCAGTAAACACTGATTAAACGATGTATTTGTTTCTACTTTTTTAGTGTTCAGCAAACGATAACAAATGCCATACAACGTTTACAAAATTTAGGTTAGAAAGAAATGCACCCTTGGTACAGACATTTTCCGAAGAAACTGGTGGGTTAAATCTGCTTTTATATCTAGCTAAACCTGTATGACAGTTGTTTATAGTTCCGCAATATTGACAAAATTGGGTTATCAAACCAAACAGACATAATAGGTTAATGTGACAATAATTGGGATACAGCAGCCAAGACTGTGTAAACATACATCACAGACATACAACACAACTGACTAACAAATTCAAACATACTTACAAAAAATGTAACAAAGACGCCAACAAAAACGTTGTTGTTGTTGATGATGGTAAATTGACAAAGACGCCGATAAAATCGTTTTTGTAATTGATAGTACATACCGTATATACATGTAGTATACACTTTCTCGATAAAGCAGAAATTAAAAGGAAAATATAAATACAAGGGTAAACAAAATGAAAACATCACTGTAAAAACTTCTTGCGTCCAAATCGCACCTCAGGACCCACCTGCACCAGAAACGCTCAAAGGAAAAAAAACGATATCAAGATGCTTAAATACCGTCATAAGACCAAATGAATGACATGTTAGCAATATATAAGTTGATAGAATCTTAACAGATCATCATCTTTAGAATTGTTTGGTTTCTTAAGCAGTGTGCAAGGAATCTAGATTTTCATTGGATCATATTTTACCCATTGGAAAAAACTGGGTTTTTTTTGTTGTCAGAATTATTGTTTTAGTTCAAAGTATAAATGCCTTGGTATACAGTGGACAATCAATCTACTATCTATGATGATGAATTCACTGCAGTGCGCTTTTTAACACTTGGAGACTTTCCATATTCCGTGTATAACAAAAGTGACTAAAACAGGTTAATTTCGTTCTTCATATTTCCTGAAATCAGAGCAGGCAAATTCAAATTCGCCATTTAATATATACATATATATATTTATATATTTTTGTGTGTGTGTGTGCTTAGACAGTATTTTTAAATTTAGTACAGAAAGATAAAATGTAAATGTTTTATCAAAGTTTCGCGGAATCAACTAATTTGATAGATTATCTGTTATATATAAAGCCAGCGTCTAACTTTTTCCGCTAGAAAGTTTCACAATAACAGTTTATTATGACTCATGTTCTTCTTTTCTTTCTTTCTGCTCTTTTAAATCAGGCAGTTTTAAATGGCGAAGACATTCGTTGTATAATGTTGAGTGAAATAAATTTTGCCGATTGTAATCAGGATTTGTCAAGGGAGTATTTTTGTTCATTAACACTAGAACAACAAACTTGGTTGCAGTCGCTTTGGAAAGCAGCTCTTCAAGACAGGTCAACACCAATTCGAAAACGTCGGGAAATACGCACACTGACTGCAACAGAGCGTTCGACTTTTTTCAGTGCTCTCAATAATTTAAAAAATGACACGGTATGTCTTCTTAAACCATTAAGTAAAATATTTTTTACACGAGGGTTAATAATTTAGTTGTGAATTATATGTTTCTAAAAAAAAAAGGGAAATCAAATTAATGTCTTGAACATTTTAAAATTTTGAATAAACTGATGTAAAAAAAATAAATGTACATAAGAAATTGCACCAGATTACCAAGTATGTATGATGATCGGTATTTTTAACTTTAATTTGTTGATGTTTTATATATTTTTTGTATTGCAATTTCTGTCCAATTATTGTGAAACAAAGTTATTTTGTTTTGTTTTTTTATCAATAAAGTATTTATAGATTGTTTTATATTGATCTTTTTAGACAGTTAAACCAAATAAATTTGACACCTTGGCATTGATTCACAGTAATCGTACGTTGTGTTCAGCCCATCGTGGATCAAATTTCCTCGGATGGCATCGGGTCTACCTTCTGTTGTAAGTATAAAGTGTACTTTTCTATTTAAGGTATGCAATGTATTCAAAATATGTACACACATTTTAAATTAGAGAATACGTTGAGTAGTTTTTTATTCATATAGTTCCCCATCTGTACCCCCTTAAATGAAATCATCAACTACTTATCTATATTACTAAAATAACGAAGTCCAATTTGTTAGCCGGCATGACGTAAAAACGACGAATCAAAGAATTCAACTTTATATATAACTAATACAAGACAATGATTTTGATTAAAAATTACACCATTCCAGGCCCTTTTGATTTCCACATAATTAATATTACCAATAATTAACAAGTTCCGGGTCGAATCCGATACCGATACCAATAGTTACCCGTTACCTGTTACCTAATCTGTACGTTGCGCCTCTGTCAGGCGCACCACCAAACGGTGTATTTGGGATTTGCTATATACACGGGTAATAATCACAACTGAACTTCGTCATTATGCAAGGATTGACACTAATAAATTCAATCATTGATCATATAAATATAGTTTTGTTTGCCACATAATTAATATGACCAATAATTAACAAGTTCCGGGTCGAATCCGATACCGATACCAATAGTTACCCGTTACCTGTTACCTAATCTGTACGTTGCGCCTCTGTCAGGCGCACCACCAAAAGTTGTATTTAGGATTTGCTAAATACACGGGTAATAATCACACCTGAACTTCGTCATTATGCAGGGATTGACACTAATAAATTCAATCATTGATCAAAAAGAAAATATACTATATGTCACATGTAGTTTCCGGTTGTAGTAAGAAAACCAGAGAAAACTGTGCACCTTATAATCAGCATGACTTTATCAGATGACAATACGAATACTAAAAATCCAGACTAAAAATATGGCGTAGGCACTTTATTTCAGTCACGGACCCGCGGGTGTGTTCTAGTATATGTATATGATTAGGAAATTCAGTTTGAAAATATAAACATTTTTATTCATCTAAACATTAAATGAACAGCGAAAAAAGTAAGGCATCATATACACTAGACACGATGGAAGGGGTTTCATGAGTTACATTCGCCGTAAATAAGTTAATGTGCGTTAATAAGTTCAAAGGTAATGTCGACACGCTGAGCTGGATTTTTAACGTGTTAGTTCACAAAGAAAAAGTCCGCAGGAGGACATGTCATCCTACCCGGACACATCATTCTGACTACGAGCCGACCAGTCGTTGCTCTTACTCCTTAATGTCGCGTGCTTAATGGAGAAGCATCTAATACCAATTTAATTTTAGTCTTTGGTCTGACCCGGCTGGGGCTCGAACCTAAGAACTTTTAACCCAACGACAAAAATAACAATAATAACCAGTGGCGGATCCAAAAAATTTCATAAGGGGGGCCCACTGATTGCCCAAGTGGGGGCCCGCTTCAGTCATGCCTCAGTGATTCCCTAAATGATCAACCACATTTTTCCCACAAAAGGGGGGGGGGGGGCACCCTACCCCCCCCCCCCCCCCCCCCCAAATCCGCCTCTGATAATAATAAGGGTATCATATCCACAATAGTCAGGTATATACATAATATGGCATGCTCTAAATTGTCCCGAGTCTTAAACAAAAGTTGTGCATAAAAGGGAAAGGAGCAATCATATATATCTGCCATTCAAACCAATTATCCAAATAACGGGGAAAAACATTAAGTCATGATGAATGACAACTACTGACGTGCTATATATTTGATATAAAGGAAAAGGTATCATTGGATACCAATGAAACTATGACCCTTTTATCAAATATGTTTTAAACTATGGTTCAGGGCGGATTCGGTGGATGGCTTTTAGGACTCCATCCTCCACCGACAGATACAGCTGTCATACATATTCGATCGCTTCTAATACCATAAATACACCTTGCCTTACATATCCTGTAATTGTCACCTTATCAGATGAACCACTGGCACTGGTGGATTTAGTAGGTGTTCAGATTCTAGTTCAATCCTTATGAATTGTAATTCTAAAAAAAACCCAAAAATAACCGCAACGTTATTAAAAGAAAATAGCCTGATGTAGGTTTGTATCCATATACGTATTCCCTTTTCAACAGTTTATTTTCTGCAGGTTTGAGACCGCAATTCGACAACAAGATGACTCTGTAACATTACCTTACTGGGATTCTGTACTCGATAATCAAAATATTACTGACCCGAGGCACACTGTTATATTTACAGATCAATTTCTAGGAAATGGCGATGGAATTGTTGATTCCGGTCCTTTTAAACATTGGCTAGATATAAACAATTGTCCATTACAACGTAAAGTAAGTCGAATTGACCATACCGAACTGCCATCCCCTGATATCATTAACATGATTGAAAATGATATTAAAGTACACCATGTTGCAGATGTTATAGATCATTTAGGGAAAGCGGAGCAAGCATTAACAATAGAAGGTCAACATAACCTTCCTCACGAATGGGTCGGAGGGACGATGGACGTTTTAAACAGTTCAGCCAGGGACCCGACATTTATTTTACACCATGCTTTCATAGACTACGTGTGGGAAAAATTTAGACAAAAGCAAGAGCGACTTGGAGAGAACCCGGAATTTTATCCACCTTTAGGGAAAACTTCTAAAACTGACAAGTATAACCTGACATCTTTCCACACTGCCGACCGCACCATGGATTGCTTTCCTTGGATGGAGAACAAGGATGGGTATCGGAGTAACTTTGTCGGAATATTGTATGAATATGAAGAATCGCCACAATGTCCAAACTGCGGCAAGTCAAAATATCTTACCTGCAATAAAAAACTCAACAGATGCATTGGTTCTGTTCCGAAGGATTCTGTAAAGGGACATTTGTGGGCTATAATCATTATAATAGGTGTAATCGTCGTAGCCATAATCATTGTGTTTTGTTTGTTGAAAAAACGTTATTCCAAAAAAGACTATACAAGATTCTAATGTGCTACGTCACATTCTTTTTTCTTGATTTTTTTTGTAATCATTGGTGGTAATAAATTAGTGAACGAATTTTATCCGTTTTTTTTACGTTGTATGGCCTCCCTTTTTCAAATCGCAACTACATCTTTTATTGATAAGCGAAAAGACAATCTTTTGTAAGAGGTTTGTAAGTTTATAATATTGCACTGCTAAAAAAATCTCTTCTATACCATACACATTTAAATGTTCGTGTCTGTTAGAGACGAAACCTGCTTCTTGCGTACCAAATTATAAGCCTGGCTTTTTTAAGCAGTTTTTTTTTCAACAAATGGGTTGTTACCACTGCTGGTGGACGGACCGCCACCTAGGGTATCACCAGTCAAATGGTTAGTTCTTTGTGTTGACATGAAATACAATTGCTACATTCATTTCTGTAAATTGACTGTTCATTGAATATTGAATTAATCGAAACACTGAGGGTTTTCTACCCCAAGCATACGTGTCTTTGGCACAACATTATGGAACGTTTTGGTGGGCAATGCTCTTCAACTTCATATTTGATTAGGTCTTACAATTGATTTTGATTAGAGCGCCACTGATGAGTCTTTTATAGATCAAACGCGCGTCTGGTGTCACTTTTTGTGGCGTTGATCCATAGGTGTGACGCACAGTTCATAATTCTATTGTGGTGTACATGGGAAGTGTCCGTTGTTATTCTGTGGTTTACATGTTGTAATGTACTATTATATTATTTATGTATGTATTTCAGTGTCCTCAGTGTTCTTGCGTTTATTATACCCCCGCTTTAAAAAAAAGTGGGGGTAAACTGTTTTATCTCTGTTTTTCCGTCCATCCATCCGTCCATCCGTCAGTCCATCCGTCCGTCCCATGAATATTTTTCGTCGCATCTTTCTCAGGAACTGCATTACAAGAATTTCTGAAATTTGGTTTCAGGGTTTATATGAGTAAGCTATACCGTGTGATGCGTTTTCAGATTCATCACTCAACAACTTCCTGTTTACCTTGTACTTTTAGCGGTGCGGGGGTATCATTAGTGAGCAGTAGCTCACAGATTCACTTGTTTGTACTGTATTCCTGTTACGTAATATTGTCATTTTAGCGGTATCTTTAACATTGCCATATAAGCGGGAGGTTGGGCTAGCCATAAAACCAGGTTCAACCCACCATTTTTTCTTAAAATGTCCGGTACCAAATCAGAAATATGGCAGTTGTTATTAAATCGTCCGTTTCTTTGTATGTTGGCGTTTGTTTTTGTAGCAGTTCAGTGTTTATGTTGTTCCGTTGTTATCCTCTTATAGTTGATGTGCTTCCCTCGGTTTTGGTTTGTGACCCGGATCTGTTTCAGTTAAATCGATTTATGACTATTGAACAGCGGTTAACTACTGTTGCCTTTAAGTAACAAATTATAAGCCTGATATCTTCGATTTGTTTTTACACCGGCTTTATCTGAAAATGTAACACATAATGATTCCATACATATACGGGCTATACTAGAGAAGATACATAAAAAAAACACAAAAAGAAATCAACTGACATGTAGAAAAAACTCATCAAAGATACCAGGCTTATGAGAATATTTTGTACGCCAATCACACATTTCGTCTACTAAACACACATCACTGACTCTCGAATAAAAAAGTTAAAAGGCCAAATCAAGAACGAAGTTAAAGAGCATTAAGGACTCAAAATTTCGTAAGGTAATATATTCCTGCGGTAAAAAATCTTTAGTATTTCGAACAATTCATTTTTTTAATCACTTAATTAATAAATATGACAATATCGATGATATGTTATGTCAATATAGAAGTGCTAACTACTGGGCTGGTCATACCCTCAGGGAGAAAACTTGACCAGTAGTGGCATCGACCCAACGGTTGTAAAACAAACCCCTCAAAGATACCAGGCTTACAATAACATTTTGTACGCAGACGCGCGTTTCGTCTACAAAAGACTCATCAGTCAGTGACTCTCAAACAAAACTAGAGGCTCTCAAGAGCCTGTGTCGCTCACCTGATTCTACTTTGGTTTTGGAAATCATGTTAATATAGATTAAAATCATAACAGATACCCTAATAATGAGTGAGGCCAAACTTGGTTTAATATTGGCCCTGTAATTTAATAAAAAATCCTGGTGGCCATCTTGTACAGTAAATCAGTAACAAAGTAGCAACACTTTATCAGCACCTCAGAAGAAACATTTATGCCATGTTTGGTTTCATTCCATTCAGTGCACCTCTAGAAGAAGCATTTGTATGTATTTCCAATAGGATCTTATGTTAAAGGAAGTCCCCCTGCTGGCGGCCATCGTGGATGAAGGATCAGCTTCAAAGTAACAACACTTAGTCAGCACCTCATAAGGAACATTCATGCAATGTTTGGTTTCAATCCATTCAGTGGTTCTCTAAAAGAAGACATTTGTATGAATTGTCCATAGGGTCCTTTGTTAAACACTGTCCCCAGCTGGTGGCCATCTTGGATGATGGATCGGCTTCAAAGTAATAACACTTGGTCAGCACTTCATAAGGAACATTCATGCCACGTTTGGTTTCATTCCATTCAGTGGTTCTCTAAAAGAAGACATTCGTATGTATTTCCCATAGGGTCCTATGTTAAACTAAGTCCCCTGTTGGCAGTCATCTTCAATGATGGATCGGCTTCAAAGTAACAACACTTGGTCAGCACCTCAAAAGGAACATTCATGCCATGTTTAGTTTCATTCCATTCAGTGGTTCTTTAAAAGAAGACATTTGTATGTTTTTCCCATAGGGTCCTATGTTAAACTAAGTCCCCCGCTGTCGGCCATCTTGGATGATGGATCGGCTTCAAAGTAACAACACTTGGTCAGAACCTCATAAGGAACATTCATGCCATGTTTGGTTTCATTCCATTCAGTGGTTCTCTAAAAGAAGACATTTGTAAATATTTCCCATAGAGTCCTATAATAAACTAAGTCCCCCGTTGGCGGCCATCTTGGATTATGGATCGGCTTCAAAGTAGCAACACTTGGTCAGCACCTCATAAGGAACATTCATGCCATGTTTGGTTTCATTCCATTCAGTGGTTCTCTAAAAGAAGACATTTGTATGTATTTCCCATAGGGTCCTATGTTAAACTAAGTCCCCCGCTGGCGACCATCTTGGATGATGGATCGGCTTCAAAGTAACAACACTTGGTCAGCACCTCATAAGGAACATTCATGCCATGTTTGGTTTTATTCCATTCAGTGGTTCTTTAAAAGAAGACATTTGTATGTATTTCCCCATAGGGTCATATGTTAAACTAAGTCCCCCGCTGGCGGCCATCTTGGATGATGGATCGGCTTTAAAGTAACAACACTTGGTCAGCACCTCATAAGAAACATTCATGCCATGTTTGGTTTCATTCCATTCAATGGTTCTCTAGAAGAAGTTCAAAATGTAAAAAGTTAACGACGACGACGGACGACGACGACGACGACGACGGACGACGACGGACGACGGACGCCAAGTGATGAGAAAAGCTCACTTGGCCCTTCGGGCCAGGTGAGCTAAAAAGTGAAAATGCCAAATAAAGTACGAAGTTCAAGAGCTTTGAGGACACAAAATTTCGTAAGGATTTGCCAAATACACCTTAAGAACCCTTCCATTATCTTTGCAAAACTTGTCATAAAACTACACAAGGAGTGTAAGCAGTATCACTAATATGGCTATTTCAAAGTAAAAGTAAAAATACAAATAGAATGGAAAAGTAGATAGAAAAATCTTACTGGGTTTAGGATACTAGAAATGATTAAATCAGTGGTCCAATCTTGATAAGCTATTATAGTGAGCTTTCAAAAATTTTTATGATTGTCATTTTAATTGATGCTGCATAAAAGAAGTTTTCTCAGTGAAGTCATAAATAAATGGATTGTTTGAATATGCGGAGCAGTAATTGTTAAAGGCAGACGTCTTTCTGTAGTCTGCATCGTCCTGAATATCATAAAAAATATGACTCTCTCAACGTTCTAAAACCACAATCAATAAATGAAAATAATTATTTAAGAACTTCGTGCGTCCGTGGTGTTTTTTTCTGGATTCATCTTCATCAAGAACCCTCAAATCAAAACATTTGAAAACCAATGATGTAAAAGGCCTAAACACGTGTGCAGCTATATGATCAAGCTGTGGATTCTCAAGTAAGAAATGTTTTTGTGGCTACAATTTTTAAATATATATTCACAAGCCTTGCTAATAAGGTTATTCCAGTAACATTCACGTGTTGTGTGCACGTAAATCGTATATATTTCGCTAGCCGTTTACTCAGCCGTTTAAAAACAAATACACACCATGAATTAAAATTACATCCGAAGATTCAACAATTTACATTGAGAATTAAAAAACACACAATGCGAAATAAAAACCTAATAAACAAACACTAAGAACTACTGTAGTGCCTACAATATTTGTGAAGTAGACAACACAGGTCTTAACGTGCAATCAAATTGTCGTTTTATGTTCAGAAATAAACATAATAAGACAGATAAATGTAATATTTCGTTAAAAAACATTAAGCTTTGTACCTTGCGTAGACGTGCGGAAATACATTTCAATGTTTTTCTTCGACATTATAACATTTTCAAAGAATAAAAACGCATGATCTTTAAAGTTTCTCAAATTTTCGAAGAATGCGCTATTCTTATATTGTAAAAAAAATCGCTTTATTACGAAAGTTTGGTGAAAGGAAAAAAATGGCAGAATCGTCGAACCTTTCGCACTTTTTGTTTCATTATTAGAAATAATAGTCTAGTCTGGTGATAAATTAAGTAATTGTACATGTGTGTATAAAAAGTCAAGCAAATCAATCTGTTTTGAGAATGAAATGTATTCTTATACAGGATATAATTATATTTCAAAGGCTAACATTTACAGATTAGGAACGTTCAACCAAGTTTAATTATATTTATTTTGTTTACTTGTACATTTAGTACGCGAGGACAAAAAAAACGGCAAATCATAACATCAGAGTTGACATCCCTGTTTTTATGTAAATTAAGAAATAAGGAGATGTGGTATGATTGTCTATGAGACAACTATCCACCAGGGTACCAA